CACTCAAGAAGATAAGTGGCATGGTGACATGGGAAGACGGACTGAAGGGTAAAGGTACCCAGGACAGCTGGGCGCTTCTAAAGGGCACAGAATATTGGCAGCCCAACAAGAAACTGTTCTGACACGATAGAAGCACAAGAAGAATAGAAAGAGACCATGTGGCTGTACAGGAGCTTCTAGGATGCCTCAAATGCAAAAGGAAAGTATGCAGGAAAAATGGGCAGGTCACCAAGGAAGCTTACCAGTAAAGAGTAGGAACCTGCAGGGACAAAATCAGGAAGGCAGAGATGAAAAATGAGCTGCATCTGCCAGGGAAAGTTAAGGACAATTGCAAAAGTTTCTGTAAGCATGTTGGCCAGAAAAGACAAAGGAAGCTGTAGGTCTGCTGTTAACCAGCCAGGATGGGCTGTTAACAGAAGATGCAAAGAAGACTGAAGCGCACAAGAGCTACTTTGCCTCAGTCTTCACAAAAAAAAAAACTTAAACTGCACCCAGACACTTAATAAGATTGATTTGCATAACAAAGGGGACAAGCTGAGGGATAAGATAATAAGACAGTTGGTCAGTGAACTTTTGATGGTCTGAACTATTTCAAGTCGGCAGGGCCTGATGAACTTTGTCACAGGGTACTCAAGGAACTGGCAGAGATCTTGGAGCCCTTGGCAATAATATTTATGAAGTTGTGGGAGTTAGGCATGGTATCAGAGGGCTAGAAAAGGGCCAACATAGTGCCCCTCTTTTAAAAAGACAAAAAGGAGGACCTGGGTAACTATAGAGCAATTAGTCTCACTTTGATACCTGGAAAGTTACTTGAGTATATCATAAAGAAGTTTTTTGCAGGCATTTGAAGGAAATAGCAGCCAGGATAAATTTACTAAGAGCATATTATACCAAACAAATTTGACCTTCTTCAACAAAGTAACTGCTTGAGTGGATGAAGAGAATATTGTGGATATAATGTATCTGGATGTTAGGAAGGCTTTTAACAGAGTTCCATGTGACCTTCTCATAACACTTCAGATAAATGTCGGCTAGACAGAACTATTACAAAGTGGATAAGCAACTGACTCTAGCCCCAAGCAGAGAGTAATTAAAAATTGATCTATGTCAGAATGGCAGGAGGTTTTGAGTGGAGTCTCCAAAGGGTAGTAGAGACAGGTCTGTCCTGGGCTTAGTGTTGTTCAACATATTTATTATTTGGGTACTGGAAAGGAGATCTTCTTGAGCAAGTCTGAAAACAATACTAAACTGGGAGACTGTGATCACAATGGAGAACTGGAGTGCAATTCAGAAGGATCTTGACAGATTAGAAAGTTGGGCTGGAACTATTAGGATGAAGTTCACTGCTGACATACACAAGGTACTACACCTCAGGGAGAATAATCAAAAAGACTGATACAAGATGAGTGACATCTAGCTGTGTGGCAGCACTACAGAGAAGAATTTGGAAGTCTTGGTGGATCACAGGCTCAATACGAGTCTACAGTGTGTAGCTGCACAAAAAGTGAATGTGATGTTTGGGATGTATGAACAGAAGAAACATTAGGTGACAGTTCCTCTTTACTCAGCCTTGGTTAAGGCCTTGTCTAGAGTACTACATACAGTTTTAGGCTTCGCATTTTAAAAAGTACATGGAGATTTAGAGATGGTCCAGAGGCAGGCAGCAAGTGATAAAGGGCTTAGAAGGCAAGTTGTACAAGGAGAGGTTGAAAGAAATAGACATGCTCAGCTTGCAGAAAAGGCACTTAAGAGGGCATGTGATAGCAGTTTTCAAATATGGTGAAGAGCTACCATAAAGATAATGGAGAATATCTTTTTTTTCTCTTCCTGCAGAGAGCAGGAGGCAGGTCACTGGCTTGAAGGTGCAGCAAAGTAAGTTTAGATTGGATATCGGGGAAAAACTCTGTCATGATTAGAACAGTGAGGCAGTGGAATAGACTGCCTAAGGAAGTTGTGGACTCAGTCACTGGAGGCATATGTTCAAAAAGCTTGGACAAACACTGCTAAGGGATGATCTGAGTAGCAATGCCTGTGTTCTACAGTGAGTATTTTTCATGCATCTGGACTTCGTTAGTTGCCACATGAGGATAGGAAGGAATTTTTTCACCTCCTTGCTGCTACGTATATCAAGGGCTTTATGTATTTGTCTGTGCATTTTTTGCATCAGGGGTTGGCTGCAGCCAAGGCTGGGGATTTTGAATGTGGTGTGCCAGTGCTTCTTTTGGGACTTAAACCTAGAGGTTCCTGGCTAAAGGATCTTGTTCCTCCACTCAGAGTTAGACTGATTGCCATATTTAGGGCCAGGAAGGAATTTTAGGGCCAGATGTCTGCCTACAGACTCCATATCTAATAAGAGTTGATGTTTATTAAGTTAATTTACAAAGTGATATTTCCAGAAAGTAATTAGCAGTGTCCTCAATTGAAAAGTTCTGGTAGTATCTTATTGAGAGCTGCTTCATACTGGTACTTCACAGGAAGTGACTGAATTTCAGGCCAAAGAGGGATGATCTGTAAAACTTTGGAAAGGCTGCAGTTGTGGTTTATGCTATATTGGTGCATATTTGGTTGTCCTGTGTTTCAGAAAGCAGTGTGGATTTATTTAAATATTTATTTTAAACATTTTTTTCTCCCCTGTGATTTAGTATAACAACAGGATACTCTCTTAGTATATTTTAGTATATTTTAATGTTGTTTTCCACACATCATTGAAATTCTCTGTAGGAAAAATAACTAATTCTCATTGGTTAGTATACATATTAAAATATGCTCATTTTGAAATCAGATACATTGTTCATACTAAACTTGGTACTTTACTTAGCCAGTTTGAGGAGATATGATATCCTTGCACATCTGTTTGAACAGTTTTAAATGTTAACATATATTTATTCAGATTCAGGCATTCACATTTTTATTATATTAGAAAATGATAAATTATTCTTCATTTTATTAGATCATAATTATTTATTGGCATTGAGTCCAGCTTATGTTTGGATGAAACTTGGAATTAAATTAAAAGTTTGTATAAAGAGAGTTTTAAATTTATTAGGTAATAAAAGTGCTGCTTACATAAGAAAAATAAATTAAACCAATTAATTGAACAAAAACATGAATGGCAGTCAATAAATTGAAGATAAGTTTCTGGTTAGCCTGGGCTAAATTTTTCACATGTGTTGAGGTGTCTGAAGTTGTACATGTGAACTTTATTACATTTTCAAAAGTGCCTAACCAGATCAAGAACCGAACTCTTTTAAGATGATTTTTTTAGAATTATAGAGTTAATCTGCTCCCCCAGTGACTTTTATTCACAAATTGAAAGAGGAAAATATTTTTTTTTTTTGCTTTCCCAACTGTCACATGGCATTTCAACATTGAATTAATTTGTTCAACTGAAGAAAATAGTCTCTCTGGACTTCCTGGCTGAATTGAAACCAAAAGGAATTAAGACAAGTTTTTGTGCACAAAAGAAACTGAAAGTTATTTACATTTGGAAATACCAGTTTTCCTTCAGTGTAAAGACAGATTAAATTTGCCATATTTTATATGTATATTTGGGAAGGAGAGGTATGTGTGTGACAAATAGATTTTGAAAGATCTATGAATACATACTAACCAATTTTTGTTTATTCACATACAAGTTTTGTGGTCAACTAGTGATTTTTATCTTTTTTATTTTTCTTTGAGATATAAACCCACAAAAACAAGGAAATGAAAATTAAATCACCTAACAGTACCCACCCTTGACTTTTACCCACAGGCACACCCTTTACCACTACCACAACACCGGCAGACTACAGAGCACACACCATAACATCATTTCTGCCCATATACAGTGGGTGTGGGAGTGGGCAGCTTTGTTTAGTGTTAAGAGGAATGCAAGGCAAATAGTGGAAGCGTGGGAACAAGTAGTTCAGATTTTTTCAGGTTTTCTTCACAATCAGGAGGGTTAAAAATAATTAAAATAAGTAATGATTTAAATAAAATTTAAGCTCTTGAAAAACTATTATATATATACTTTTCAAGCAAGATCACAAGGAAGAAAAGGACATTTTGCCTTGCGTAGTAATACTTTTTGAATTAATTTTAAAAAATTGAATAATATCCCTTTGCCTGAGGGGTGGGCTGTTATGATTGTTTACAAGGAGGGTAGAAAAAGAAGAGAGACTACATATGACACGTTTCTTAAAGGGGCCACATTTACATTTAACTTTCTTTTATTAAACAGGTCTATTTCAAAGTGGGTGTTGTAAATTTGGAGGAAGATGCAAATACATTCTTTATACAAAATAAAGAATCTGCCTCCCTGCTTAAGGTGAAACAGTTGATGCTGTGTTAGTGTGTTAGAGATACCTATTTATGTTCAAGTAAACACTAGAATAATCAAATCTGTAACGTAACATAATGTTAAGGCCTGATATCTGTCAGTTCTGTTTTAGAAAGCTGAGAGTCTCTCCAGTACTGCAGAGTTTTGATTCACTCTATGGGAGCAGTCAGCAACATTTTCAGACTGTGGGCTGGAATGACCCATCTCAGGTTGGAGTTGGGCAGATGCCAGGATCCAGCAGCTGCTGCTTCTTCCTGCCACAGTTCAGGGGAAAGTGTTGGCTGCTGAAGCCCCATGTCTGCAGGCCAGATCTAATGGCTCTGTGGGTTTGATCCAGGCAGTGGGCTGTAGGTTGCTGTCCTCTGACCTATGGTGTTGCACTAGATCTGAGCCCTCTTATATTTGAAATGGAAAACTGTTGTTCAGATACACAGCCTTCTCTTTCTGACTGTTTATCAAATGCTCATTTTTAATCTTATATTTTAAAAATTAATAAATACTTTTAGGAAAACGAGAAGTGTGTTTATACATCTATATGCACGTTGTACTGCTAGCTATAAAATGTGCATTTGACTAGACAGGCTTCATGTGTGCTGGAGCATGTTTTATATTTTACTTGCAAAGTTTGTTATTCAAGCCACATGTCATCCATAAATGTAATAAATATATTCATTTTCAGGTTCTTTTGCCCCCCTCCATGTGTGTATCTTATGGGTAGTGGATGGAAGAAAAAAAAAGAACAAATGGAACGGGATGGTTGCTCTGAGCAAGAGTCACAACCATGCGCTTTCATTGGAATAGGAAACAGTGACCAAGAAATGCAGCAGCTAAACTTGGAAGGAAAGGTAGAATAAATACAATTTCTTTTTCAAACTACTATTAGCAACATTATAACCAGTCTCATAGCTTCCTGAGACTGCACCTATTTTCTGTTGATTTGTGTAATACCAAGAATTGTTTGAAGAAAACTTACTCTGTACTTAGAAAAGCTCTTTAGTGTAACTATTGTATTGTCCTTGTGGACCTGTTCAAATATCCCTGGTTTATTAACGGTCCACTCCTCCAGCACAGATATGTTTATGTGAAATGCATCCTGGGTTGTGCTGTTACCCTCCCAACAAGTCAGTGTGTTGTCTTCCGTGGCCCCCAAAAACTGTAATAAATTAAGCATTTGAAGTTGGGTAATGAGCAACACGAGTAAACAGTAAATTAAGAAATACCTTTCTCTAAAATAATGCAGAATTTTCCCATGTTCCTTTCATTATGCTTCAGAAAAATAGTAGTTGCTTCCTTAGGGAATTGCTATAGAACTATAGGTGACTATGTTTAAGGATGCATTATATCCGCGGTCTCTTTTCTTGTAAGTTGCATATAAGTTTGTTATCTTGAACTCTAAGCTTATCTGAAAAAGAAACAGTGATCTGTTCTCATCTGCAGAACTATTGCACAGCCAAAACATTGTACATATCTGACTCAGACAAGAGAAAGCACTTCATGTTATCAGTAAAAATGTTCTATGGCAATAGTGATGACATCGGTGTGTTCCTCAGTAAACGGATCAAAGTCATCTCCAAACCTTCTAAAAAGAAACAGTCACTGAAAAATGCAGACTGTAAGTATTTAGTTTTCAGGCCTTTGTTTTAGTTGGTGTACTTGACACCCCCCCCCCCCCCCCC